TATATCATTTAGTCAGTTGCACTGACTGTATGTCTAGTTTAATGATATATCTGGGTTTACATCTACTGTCTTATATATTCTATTTGCTTATTTTTTCTAGGTTCTTTTCTCTCTCCGTGCTTGCCTTCTTTACAACTAATTTTTTTCTCATTACATTTCTCCCTCAATTAGTTTAGAAGCTGTATACTGTTTCTGTTACTTACTGATTACCTTTGAAACTAAAGAAGACTAAAATCTAAATTTAATCAATAACTTTAACTTTCTCTGGGATAATAATAATTTTAAAAGGCTTTGAACAGTTTAACTTTATCCCCCTCACCCCACGTTCTTATACGTTACTGTTTTTGTGTAATTTAATTCTGGTGTTTAACCTTACAAGACAGTATTAGTATTGTTTTAAACAGTTGATATTCATTTAGATTTACTCAAAAACTTATAATCTTATGTGCTTTTCATTCCCTCTTGCATCTCAAACTTTCTGTCTGGGGTCACTTTCTTCCTAAAATGCTTACTTTAGAATTTCCCTTAGTAAATGGCCTTAAAGTGGCAGGCTATCTTTCTTTGTTTGTGTAGAAGTACCTTAGTCTCTGAGTACAAAAGCACATTTTGGCAGTTGTGTTTTTTGAGTATATTGATGATATTATTACACAATTTTCTGGCTTTAATTACTGTTGTGGAAAATTTGGTTTCACTTCATTTCTGTCTTCTGAAGGTAATCAGGTGGCTTTTAGGATCTTCTGTATATCTTTAATATTCTAAATGTTAATTATTCCATTTCTAGATATAGATCATTAAAAATTTATTCTGCTTGAACTTCTTAAATCTGGGAGCTATTACCTTTTGTTAGTTTTGGAAAATAATCAAGTATTATCTCTTCAAATACTACATTTTTTTTATTATCCCTCTACTCTCCTTCTAGAATTACTATTGTACGTATGTTAAACTTCTCAATATTTTTTATTTTTAACCTCTTTTTCATAATTTCTTTGCTTTTCTCTCTTGTATTCTGAACTTTGTTCCTGCTCACCAATTCTCTCTTCCCCTGGATCTGATCTACTGTTAATCCCTTCAATAATTTTTAAAAATTTATTTCAAGTATTATGTTTTCCATTCCTATAAATTCTTTTTTGTTTATTTCAGGTATAATACAAGGTCATATTATTTATTTTATCTGCCCCTTGAAACTACTTTTAGTCCTGAGTTGTCCAATAAAAAAACATACAAAAACCTGAAGTCATAGTTTTACTTTAAAATTCTAGTTGCCCAAGGCCCTAGGGTAAAGCAAGTGCAATTCTTTCTGGAGGAATTTACCTTTATAGTAGGTTTCAAAGAACCCTTATAAATGATCTTCATAACCAAGTATATAAGGAAATTTTGCCTTTTCTGGGGAGGGCAGTGTATTCCCACACTGTCCCACGAATAACTGTTTTTTCCCTGCTGCTTCTCAGCCCCAAGGATTTTCCTTGCAGTCCCCCTGGGAGTGGGGGATCAGTTGAGTTTGCTTCTGGTTTACCTTTAACTTGACAGTATAGTTTTGAGTCATAGTTTTATGGAGGAGAGAGATCATCAGTTCAATGGATACATTACAGTTCTTGCCCCATTTGACCAGTCATCACTTTTGATACCGTAAACTACTCCCTATGTCTTGAATCACTGACTTCCCTTGGTTTCCATAGTGTGTTATCTTCCGGTTCTTTAGTTTTTCAGTCCTACATGGGAACTAATCCTTCTGTCTTCATCTTTTAATGTTAGAATTTCTATGACTGTTATTGACCCTCTTCTCCTTTTGTGTTCATTTCCTAGGTAAATTAAGATGACTTTAAACACCATCTTGTTTCTAATGAAACCTAACGATCTATGTACAATGGAATTTTGTGTCTCTTCTGAGTTCCATTCCCATTTGACATCTCCACTTGAATATCTCAGTTTCCTGAAACTCAATATGTCCTAAACTAAACTCAGGTACTGATGTCTTTCCGTCCTCCAACAGCCTCCAAACCTGATCCTTTTCTAGTCTTACTTATTTCAGTCATAAGACACCATAATTTAACCACTCACTCCAGAAATCTTCCTGCCTCTCTGTCTTACATTTTAAGACATTTTCTCTCTTACTCACTAGGCTGCAATCACGCTTGTCTAAATTCTAAACTTCTTGGGAACTCTTACCCAAGTTCTTTCATCTGCCAGGACTAACTCCTACACCTGCTTCAAATCTCTGTTAAAATATCATCTCATCAGGTGAGTTTCCCCCAACCGCTTTTGCTGAGTTAGAGGAGGAGTCCTTTTTTACGCAGTGTCCTCACATCCTATCCTTCTCCTTCATAGTACTTTTAACAACTATAATATAAATAATTATATTAAAAATAAGTCTTCATTTGTTCAACATTTCCTATGTGTCTCCTCCACCATAAGCTCCTCGAGCGTGAGGTTTGCCTGCCTGGTGTACCATTGCATCACCAGAGGAGTGCTTGGCACACAGTGGGCGTTCATAATCATTTGTTGGATGAATACATGAATGGATTGTTAATGGCCCCATTTATTACTCAAACACTTGTAAAATGCTTTTGTGAATGCTTGGGAGTTCCCAAACCTACCCAAACTAAAGTATGCTATGAAATTTGTTACACTTCCCTGAGAAATATTTTCAGATTTTTCAAATTTGGGCTCTATTCATGGAATTGTGGATTTCAATTTTATCTATCCTGTCAGTTGGGTGGAAAATAATGTTGAAAATTACCAGTGGGGAATTGTTGAAGGCTTTTGATCAAGGGAATGGAGCATGGTCAGATACATGGTTCAGAAAAGGAACTTTAGGATCAGTGTGCAAATTGGATTGAATGGGGAAAGATCTAATGCTAATGAAAAATTATGAGAGACAAGTAGAGGAGTAATAGTGAGGCATGGGAAATAGGAGATTTATTTGAGAGGCATTTTAGAGGTGGAATTTGTAGGGCTTGGCAATATCATGGAGTGTGTGATAGGGAGAGATTCAGGATAGATGGGAGAATCTGATGAGATTTGGGATTAATCTTGTTTTAATTCACCTGTATTGCTTGTGGTGTGGTTAATTAGGCATGCATGTTTATGCATATCAGAATTTCTCAATTTTCCATATTATAAAACTGATAGGGCCCTGATTTTCCTGACTCCTGTTTTTATTTCCTGACTCTAATTTTATCTATTATGAAAGTTTTTTTCCAAAACCCCAGCTGTGTGTCTCCTCCACCATAAATAAGCTCCTCGAGTGTGAGGTTTGCCTGCCTGGTGTACCACTGCATTACCAGAGGAGTGCTTGGCGCATAGTGGGCATTCAAAATCATTTGTTGAATGAATACATGAATGGATGATTAACGACGCCATGTACCCTGGCTCCTTGGCTGGCTCCTGATACCCCAACTGAGAAGGCTCAGTAACCTCTCCTAGAAGGTTAGGTTCTGTCTCTCAACTGCCAGGCCCAATTCAGAACCTACTGTGATTTGATTACCCCACGCCAAATTTTCTTTTAGAATTGTTGCTGTATGGACCCCCTCTACTTACATTAATTAGTATTTCTTGGTCCTAGGATTTGCTTGTATTACCTCTGGCCTTGCTAAACCATTTGGCTATTCAATTATCTGACTGCTCTCATAAGAGCAAGCTTACTGCCAAGTTAATTTCCTCCAACGTGCTTCCTGCCCATTCTCAGCTTTTTCTCAACTGGCCTTTGTTTCTGACATCTTGCTCTGTCTTTTCTCCCAAATGTTTGTTAGTGGTGGAATTTTCTAACTCAGGCAACTGGGTAAATGAAGAATCAGTTTAGACAACAAACCTCCCTCTCCCCTTTTGCTCTATTGAGTTTGTTGCCTCAACATTTTTTTTCAATGCTTTTGTATCATAATAAATACTTGTTCTTTCAAAAGCAATGTAATTTTTTCTAGTCTTCAAATTCATATTGTCTTATTGATATATAATAGCTTCTTCTAAATATGCAAAGCCTCCACTCAGTGTTTGGCTCTACAAGGTTCTCTACCTGATTGATCCTGATGGGCCAGTCATTGCAAAGCTGAACCTATTTAGCGTAGGACTGCCATCTTCCCGCTGCCCCAGAGAGCATTTCTGTTCTTCAAGAACACAGTGTGTGTGTGGGGGGGGGGCATCATCTCCCTCCACACTGCTTATGATCAGCTCCCTTTATCCCTCACTGTGTGCTCAGGGTCTTTTCTGAATGTACTTTTGTTTCACAGTCTCATTTCAAAGCTTTAGAGAAGTAAGAATTTCTTCCATAGAAAGTTTATGGAACCTTCCATTAGAGTTTTGATTGGTTGTTCTCCCATGAGAGAGCCTAAAGATGATATGAAAAATTGTAATTTGTAAAATGATGACTTCACATACGAAAATATGTAAACATAGTTAACTTATTAGACTTCATCCACATTGTTTTAGTTTGGGAAGTTTCATCAAAATGTATAGTTAATTTGTGCGTATGTATAGATTATAGATTGTATCCTATAAACAGTTTAATGTGTACTTAATGTGGAACATGATTTTTATTTTAGCACATATATTAAACTATTTGAATATGAATTTTGTGTATTTATCATAAGGTGTAGAAAGCAAAAGTCTATTTTGGAAGAATAAGATTCTGGAGGGGAGAAAAACAGTATTTTACAGAAAGATTGAATTACATGCCAAAAGTACTCAGAACAAATTCAGTTGTTTTAAATGTATCAAATATCAAAGTGTAATTTTCAAATTTTAAAAAGTGCTATTAACATTAGCTTCTCAATTTTTTTGTAGCTTGTTAATATTAGTGAGTAGTGCCAAGTGGCTCCTAAAACCAAGTTATTCTTTTCCATTTAAATTGTGTTTTCCAAAATCTGTAAGGTTATTCCACTCCAATATTCTTAGATATATTTATATATAAAGTCAACATCTTTGGATGAGATATTGAGTATCAGATTGACTGTAATATTTTGTTATAATCCATAGATATTTTACAGTATAAAATATTTAATTTACAGGTATGATTGGGAAAGATTCTTTAGATTTTTATCTTACAAAAATAATGGAAAATCATCATGTCAGTTGGATATCGTGACTGGATACTGCCTAAAGTAAGTAGGCTTCTAATAAGTTGGCAATTTCCAAGATGGTTATTTCACATTTTCTAGTCATAAAATATACTGGAGTCCGTTAAGACACTTGTACAGGGTTGTACAGGGGTTGCACACTGCTTGTACAGGGGTTGACAAGCAGTCTTCTCCTCTTAGACTCTGCTACATCCAGTTTTGTACTACCTGTCATTATTAGGTTTTAGAAGCTTAATCTGATGTATAGTCCTTGAGATATAAAAATAGTCTTTGTATTACAAAGTGATGTACCATAGAGTTCCTTTTAAATGGCAAGCTTTTTACATGGCTTTCCTCCAGCTGGGCCAGGACCTGGTCTGCCTTTGAGAGGATTATATTTGTGACTGCTCCTTTGTCATTCATCTCTCAGAGGCTATTGTCACAAATCAGAACAGAGAAGCCCCAGCCTTCCTCTGATGTTCCCTCCCTACACAACGAAGCTTTGTTCAAAGAACGAAGAGTCCTCATAGACTTTGTCTTTACACAGTAGGCTGGCCCACACAAGTCCCTAGAATTTGGAACTAAGATACTTCTGTCCTTATTCACAGAAAAAGTACTGGAGCCTCAGTCCCTTGCCCAACTCCAAATCTAAGAGCTCCTTCAATCTTGAATCCAGTCATTGAATAAGTCCTCTGTATTCTACCTGTAACTCTCAGAATCCATCCACTTTTCTCCGTGCCCACTACCACTATCCTAGCTCTGGTCACTATCATCTCTTGTCTGTATCACTGCCAAGGTTCCCTACTGTCACCTTGGCCTTCGGTCTCACCTCCCAGAAGTTGGCTGTCTATATTTTAGTGTTACTGAAATGCAAATACTTCAGATGCTTCCTTTTGTCACCAGGATAAAGTCCAAACTCAACATGGTATTCCTACCCCTCTCTACCGTCAGTTCTCACTTTCATGTTTCCAGCTTCTTTGTGTTTCTCGTATTCTTTGTTGATCCTAAGCCTTTGCATATGCTGCCCTTGGCCTGAACGATGCTCTCCTTCTGTTCTCCCTCTGCCTCTTCCATTGCCTTTTCCCCCTCCTCCCTGACAAACCATCTTGCCTGCCCAGTTGAACTCATCATTTAGATATAAACCTTGATGTTGTACACTCTGGAAATCTTCTCTGACTCCCCAGACTGAATTCGATAATGCCATGCTTGTGTGCTCCCATAAGACATACTACTCTGTATGTAATGGCCTATTTATTTGTTACCTTTGCAACTAGACCACGAGTTCCTCGAGGACAAGCACCATGTATTGCTCAGTGCTGAGTCCTCAGCACCTGTGATGTTATGTGCCTGGCACATAACAGGTAGTTGCTTTATACTTGCTAGATGAATATTACCTTGTGCCCACTTACCCCTTACTCCTGATTTCGTTCCTATATTTCATTGGCTTCTGGACATCTGGCTTCTCTCCTGCACGCTATTTTGTGATTGCTGCCGTTGAATCTGACGTTCGGTTCAGCTTTTCTTCTTTTGATCTTGGCACTTGTTCTCTCTTGGATGTATTTTATACCAGCCCTTTGGACCTCTGTGTTTTAACTGCTTTGGAAAACGACCCTCACCGTGACATTGCCTGTCCAGCTGATGTCCCTTCTTACCCTGTGTCTGTATGAAAGGGCGGGGGAGAACGGGGGATAAGATATTTTGTTCCTAATTATTTGTTATTATAGTATCACCGTGCGAAGGTAAACGAATTTGACTTTCTTTTGGACAGCTAGAGAACTACTGTGGAGCCTTACCCTATCATCTGAATTCATCACAATGCGGTCACATTTTCCTTACTGATCAATTATGTGGTGCCTCTGCTAGAAGCCTTGAGCCTGTTCCTTTCAGTGCATTCACTGTGAGCATCGTCTCTAACTAGCTGCTGTCTCTAAAACCTCAGCTATCCCTTTTCTTTATCTGAGACTGCTTTCAAGTCCTAGCAACAAGCAGGGAGGAATACCTTAATTATTGCTTTTTCAACAGCCTCTACTTTTCTCCCATTTCCAAGTTCTAACTCAAAGGATAGAGACAAGAATGTTCCCCCAAATCTTTTCCAAGCCTCCAAGATTTTCCTGCAAAGAAAAGAGAGTGACTAAATTATTCTCTCTTGGTTCTGTTTTCTCCTCTCCTCTGCTTTCTGATCTGTCAGGATGTTTTGCCCTCCTAAGGAATGACTTTGTTCATCTTTCCGTATACCTGTTGTTCATTTGTATGTTTTCTTTGGAGAAATGTCTTTTCAGGCCCTTTGCCTATTTCTTAATTGTTTTTTTTGGTTTGTTTGTTTGTTTGTTTTTGCTATTGAGTTGAAGGAATTCCTTATATGTTTTGGATATAACCGCTTATCAGACACATGGTTTGTAATTATTTTCTCCCCTTTTATAGGCTGCCTTTTCATTCTGTTAATTGTTTTCTTTGGCTGTGCAGATACATTTCAATTTGATGTAGTCCCACTTATCTATTTTTTGCTTTTGTTATCTGTGCTTTTAGGGTCATATCCAGGAAATCATTGCAAAGTCTAATGTCATTATTCTTTCCCCCCTATGTTTTCTTCTAGGAGTTTTTGGTTTCAGATCTTACGTTTAAGTCTCTAATCAATGTTGAGTTGGTTTTTGTGAATCCTTAAAAAAATTAAAAATAGAAATAACATGTGATACAGCAATCCCACTTCTGAGTATTTATCCAAAATAATTGAAATTAGGTTCTTGAAGAAATACTTGTACTCTCATGTTTATTGCATCATTATTTACAGTAGCCAAGATGTGGAAACAACCTAAAAGCCCACTGATAGATGAATGGATAAAGAAAATATGGTATATACATACAATGAATATTATTCAGCCTTACAAAAGGAAATCTTTCCATATTCAATTTGAGAGCATTATGCTAATAAGTGAAATAAATCAGTCACAGAAGGGCAAATCCTGCCTGCTTCCACTTATATGAAGTATATAAAATAGTCAAAGAAACAGAGAGGAGAATGGTGTTTGCCAGGGTCTGGGAGAAGTAGGAAATGGGGAGTTGTTATTCAATGGGTATAAATTTTACTTGTGCAAGATGAATAAGTTCTAGAGATCAGCTGTGCAGCATTATACAGCATTGTACATCATTATTAACCAATAAAAATTGCCTAAGTGGGTAGATCTCATTTTAAGTGTTCTTAAATAATAGTAATAATAATGATAATGATAATAATAATAATTAGTGACTTTGTTAACCACAATTTTGGTTTCTTTTTGAGTCAGGTGTGCCTAGCAATTTAAAGCATTTTATAAACTTCTACAGAGCCCTGCTTAAGGGACTTTGAGTAATTTTTCCCTTTGAAAATTAAATAGTTCAAATAGCAACTAATCTTGTAATAGTATCACATTTGTACACCTCTCAGAGAGATCCCCAAACATTTTTTTTTTAATTTATGGGAAGTCCTTATTCATTTGTGACACAAATTGATGTTTTCCTGATGGTCAGGAACAGAGCATGGATTTTCATTTTTAAGTAACAAAGTATGAGTTCATGAGTGTCTGTCAGAGCCCTGTAGAAAAAAACTTTATAGATGACCCTCGAATGAAAATTATTTTAATTTTTAGAGAAAAATGAAATAGGCTTATGTAAGACTTTGTATCTGAGAATATCTAAGCAATACTGTGTGAATTGAGTCAGAGTAAACTCAGTTAAATTTCTCATAGCAGTAGGTCCACTGGTCTGCAAAGTAACAGTGGAAATGACTTTGCTTAGCCAAAGCAGCACTGAACAATAGAAATAATGCAGTCTTCATATGCAATCTTAAAATTCTTAGTAGCCTTATTTAAAAAGTGAAAATAAACAAGAGAAATTAATTTTAATAATTTATTTAGCCGAATATATCCAAAATGTTATCATTTCAACATACAGTCAATTGCATATTATAAACGAGGGGCTTTTTTGGGTACTAAGTCTTTGAAATTCTGTGTATATTTCATACTTATAATGCATTTCAATTCTGACCAGCCAATTTCATGTGGTCAGTACCACATTGGATAACAAAGATCTAGAGCCTGAAGAAAGTACCTGTCTTAGGTAATATCAGAGTGGCTGTAAGATGAAAACTGAGGATTAGATGCTCCCCTAATATGTCCCCCTTACCATGACACTCATAAAGTCTTCCCGATTTAGATGCCAGCTCTGGGAAGAATTAAGGTCAGTATCCTTAACGTGGATGAGACTGAGTTGCTTTCACTTCACAGAATGGGGGCCTAAAGTACAAATTAAGTTTAGCTATGAATGAATTAGAAATTTATGTTTCTTGTACTCTCCAGTTTGTAGTCTGACTTCCCTGTCTGTTATGCTTACCTCACAAAGTAGTTTAGATTATTAAATAGGAAAATTAAAAGAAAGATTGTGATACAGTGTCTGACCTGTTGAAGGAACACAATACCTTCCCCTTTCCTCAGTTACTTCAAGTCCAGAGAGGCCAAGACCATAGGTTTTATCTCTTTTAGGATCAATAAACTTTTGAAGATGGATGTCTGAAGATTTCAGGATGTGGTCCCTGCAGTCATTAGGTAAGAAAGTATAAATGAATAAGTGCCACTTATTTTCACTAAAGGATGATAATTAAATTATATGACATTCTGAGACTGTAATATCCGCATCGTCTATGAAGACCAGTGCTTGGAATTGGAAACATATGTATACTAAGAAGTGTGTTAAGTACAGGTATATACATTGGCCTATTCACTCATAAATAGACTAAACAAAGTGCTGAAAAAATTATATTTAGAGAAAAGTGTTTAAATTGTTTTAAAAGTGAGAAAAGCATCCTAACCACAGGAAGCATCCAGGATTATGGTTTTATTTTTTTACTGTTTTTTGAGACACATATTGATTTTGTCACTGTTGTTTAGATCAAGCTTGAATGGAATCCTGTCATTTTGTCAACAATGTTCAGGCCTAACCAGTAAGAAAACGACATTAGAGGCAGAGGCTAAAAAGAAAATTCATGTAGTTGATGTTAACCATACATGTAAGCAGCTGGATGGAAGAATACAGTTATCCACAATCATGGCAGAAACATACCAGGATGAAGATTTAGGAGAAAAGATTCAGATCCTTCTTTGCGTAGTATTGTATGGCAGTGAAATCTCAGTAAATATTGCCTAAAGACATTATAGTTAGGATATAGGTATAGCTATTATAGCAAAGACCCAGAACACCGGTGGTATAAACAATATAAAATTTATTTCTCTCTCATGGAATGCTTTAAGAGCAAGCAGCCCAGAGCAGACATAATGGCTCCTTGGTATGGTCTGTATCCTTCTAGGTTATGGCCAGTGTGGCCCTTTGACCAGGTCAAGAATGGCCCAGCCCTTGGCCCTGTCTTTGAGAGTTCTGCACCCAAACTCAATAAAAATCATGGAGGAAGGACAGGATATCCACAGTAAAAATGCTCAGTCAAAGCAGGGAAGAATGGGAAACCCTAGGGCAGTCACTGGCTTTTAGCAATCATGAAATCTTGCTGAGGAGGACATTGCAGAACCTCCATGTCTGGCAGCTTGGTTAGTCCTTGGTTGGTTCATTTGGAAACCTCTTATTCTGCTCTCTGAGGAAATTCTTCCTCGTCTGTGCTCTGTGGTCCCTGGATTTGCCCTCTGGGACACTCTTCCATGTCTGTGATCCTCCGTAGTAACTTTAGGTAAGCAGGAGACCATATGTTGCTCTTGGGAAATATTCTCAGGGGTTGCTTTATAGGTTGAGCTAACACAGGCTTTTTCACACTATATGTATGGCTTCTTTAGCAATATATTTTCCTTAAAATCTTAGTAGGCTTATAGTCTGTTGGCTTCAGGCAGATTTCACAAACAAGTAGCCAAAGATATTCTCTAGTCAGACTTACATCTGAAGACCTTTTATTAACTGGACTTGTTCCTTTGCCCATTCTCCCCATGTTATTAATGCCTGCTTGAGGGTATCCAGAGCAACAGGGTTAATTAGGAAGCCTCTAACATTAACAAGATCATTGCTTGTGAACTGGACTCACTGACGTATGGGGGGATGCTTGAGAGGGCCTGGAGGCACAGTCTTAGGTCATGCTGAGTCTTCATCTTTAGAACCACTTCTTAGCTCTGTTTCAGTTTTGGATGTAGAAGTAATGAACTTTTTCAGTGATCCACGTTTCTAAATTACTGGACTCTTTGTCCATTTAGATTGAAGTTTATATGCAGAGAAAAACCTCCTTAAATGTATTCCGTTCAGCCTATGCTCACAAATGTTCTAGGTGTTTTTTCTAGGTCTTTCCTGAAAGTCTCAAAATGCAGCCAATATACACCAGCATTCTGAGTTTTTGCAACAAGTTCCTAGACTCGCAGGCCATGCTCGAATGTGTTCTGCCTTCCAAGGCATTGGAGGTAACAGTTTTCTTAAATGTATTCCCAAGAAATAGTAAGAGTCACCGATTTTCCAGCTTCTAATGTCTCTGTCCCATCTGCCCGCTGCCTACCTCTTAAGGTCAAGGTCCCATGTATTAGATTCTGTTGTGGCAACTCCAATTCTAGTATCAAATTCTAAATTAATTAGGCTATAGACACAGTTGCTATTACGGAATGCCAAAATAACAGTAGTTTAAACAAGATAAGCCTATTTCTGTCTTCCATGGTAGGCCAGATGAAAGCGGTCCAGAGCAGGGAAGGCAGCTTTGAGACAACTTCCACTTTGTGGTTGAAGATGACTTCTTGAGCTTTAGTCATCACACTTACGTGATAGCTGCTGCGAAGCAGGAACTAAGAGAGGGAAAGTACCTTCTTTCTCTTAAACACATGACTTGAGAGTTTTGTATCACTTATGCTCCTATTACATTAGCCAGAACTTAATCACATGACCACACCTCACTGTAAGGAAGGCTAGAAAATGAATGAGGTCTTTAACTGAGCAGCCATGATCCCAACTAAGAATGTTTGTACGACGTTGGCATCGCTGTTCATCTGCTTTACAGACATTGGGTGACTTTCACTTTATCACTCAATAACTGTTCTCTCCTTTCCCTTCTTAGAAGGAAATAACCAAGTATGAACTTAATTGGTGCTCATGGATTCCAAAGTGGCAGAGCATTTTTGAAGAACTTCTATTTTGTTTGGCAAAGTAATTAACCTCCTGGAAAGATCAACATACATTTCTTGGTCTTGAAGATTTTATAACATTTCCATAGACCACAAAACTAATAGGACATCTGTGAACAAGAATGTTGGAAACCACAGAAACCAAAGGATTGTCTCCCAAATAAGCATTTATTTTTTTAATCTTCCTTTCTAGACTTGCTTTCTAGAAACAGCCCTCTTCTTGTCTTTGCTTTCTACAATGGTCTTTCACTGAATCCACACAGATAAAAAGAACAGAGCATCTAAATCTAGATTCACAGCTCCTTGACTGCAATGGTAATTTCCCCCTAGACCTAACAAGGGCAGACATTAGGTGTCCCAACTATTCTTTAGACTGTTTCAGATTTTTCACAGCATGGATTAAATGGTGGTGTTCAAACACTGGAGCTTATTAACTCCACTATGAATAAAACCAGACCTGACTTCTGATTCAATTTTAAAACAAAGTATTGGAAAGTGTACAATCCTGGGGTCAGAGAGACTGTGGTTCAAACCGTGCTCTGGTATATATGTCTTAGTAAATCCCTTATATGTGGCGGAGCAGATGTCAGTTTTCTTAACTCTTCAAGTTTCATATTCATGATCTTAATTTTAACTATTAGTTCTCAATATATATCTCTAACTCTGTTCTTTTTCCTGAGCTTTTTTCCCCTGTATCTCTAATTGGACAGTTAGGGATAATAATTGAACTTACTAGGGCTGTAGATGGTTAAATGGGATGACATTAAAATTGCATAGGATGGTGCCTAACAGTCAAATCATAATTATTATTACTGTGGTCAAGTGGAATGAACAAATCAATAAATCTATCATCTGTAATACACTTCATAAGAAATGGTACAGCTGTGTGTGTGTGGTGTTAAAATAAAAATTGTTCAAATTAACAAAGAGGTACACCCGAACATTTTTCTTTAAAAAGAAGCTGTGATTGAGAAGTACTACTCTAACCTAGAATTTCCCCTTTCTCTTGCTCTAAACTTTGCAAATAATAGATAGATAGTTAATAAATGGTACTTATTAACATGAGTTTACTAATATGCAAATTTTAAAATTAGTCTAAGACTCTCCACTATTAATATATTTATATATTAATACATTAATATTAATAACATTAATAGCCCTATGCCAGTCATCATTAAATGCATGTCATACATGATCTCACTTGAACTTCACAATTACAATTGATGGTATATCTCATCTCTGTTTCACAGATAAATACTCTGGTGCTCAGAGCAGTTAGCTGACTTACACAGAAGTGTATGGCAAGGAACTGAGAGATGCAGGAGTAAAACTCAGGTCACTTGTGTCTAAAGTCTCTTCCTGTCATCAAAACGTTGTACAGAATTTTAAAATGTATATGTGAAAGTATCAGAATGGCTGCATTCTAGCAGTATGTACACCAATGACACAGTTTTAGAACATTTTTCTCTAGACCAGCCTGAGAGCAGGTATTCATGGCCTTGCTCTCCCAGAAGAGCAGGCATGTAGAGATATCGAATTCACCTGCAGTGGGAAATGTCAGTTAGAACTGTCAAGTGTATCTTACGGACGCTTCTTGGCTTTGCGTTGTATTTTTAGCTTCATTTGGATCTAAGAGTGAGGGAACAAAAGAGGAAAAGGAGATTCAAAGAAAGAGTTCTGATACCCATCATTCTTTTAGTCCTAGTGCCAACCTTCAGAAAAAATGCTTTCCAGTTCATCTGTCTTTGACTAACATATGCAGAGATGTGATCAGTCATCAGAATGATCAAATGCACTGGAGAGAGCCTGTGAACAATAAAAAGGCAGCTGCAGTATCTTGGCAGACCGATGCCATCGTCAATGGAATTTGTAGTTAACATTTTTAGCTGCAGTTGAGGAAGGCTACCATAACAATGGTATTAGACCCTTTGGTGGAAAACTTCTCATTAGAACATAATGGAACAGTTTAAAATATTCAGAAATGGTAGCCTGACTAGAGTCCCTGTTGTGGCAGTGCACTAGTTTTCTATAGCTGCATAACAAACTACCAGAAACTTAGCAGCCTAAAACAATACACATTTATTATCTCGGAGCTTCTGTAGGTCAGACATCTGAGCACAGCATCACTGGGTTCTCTCCTCAGTGTCTCACAGGCTATAATGAAGGTGTTGCCCAGGGTTACAATCCCATCTGAGGCTTGGGTCCTCTTCCAAGCTCCTGCAATTTTTGGTAGAATTTAGTTCCTTGCATTTGTAGGACTGAGGCCCTCAGCGTCTAGAGACCATTCATGTAAATGTCTTAAAAAATGTAAACTACTACTTATAGGGACATAAAGCAGATCAATGATTACTGAGGGAAGGAGGCAGGGTAGAAAGGAGTGGTTTACCAAGGGGCAAGAGATAATTTTGGAGATAATGAATTTTTCATAATCTTGACTATGGAGATGGTTTCACAGGTATATACATATGTTAAAATTAAATGAATTTTATACTTTAAATATGTGCGGTTTATTGTACATCAGTTGTATCTCAATAGCTTTTAAAAACTGAATATAAGGAAAGAGTGACCAGTGTGCAAAATATACTGCAGTCTTCCTGTGATGAAGAACTAAGGCGCCCTTAGCTTGTCACAGAGGAAACAGACATCATGAGACAGACCTTTGCCTGGCCAACTCGGCTAAGACTTAATTAGTCAGCATCTGTTTATTGAGCACCTGCTACACACCATGCACGGTGTTAAGCACTTTGTATATATTATTTTATGAGATCGTCACAATAACTCTGCAATACAGCAACTTTGTGTGGCTTACTCCTTCCATAAAAATAAGTGCTTTGGGACACTCCTCACAAAATCATTAACAACCTTTCATCTCAAATAGAGATCAGCAGTGTTCTGAGAGATGCACAGCAGGGGCCTCTGAGTTACAGAATACTGCAAATAAAAACTGGCTGGCTTGGTGATTCGAATTTTTCTTCACAGGCTATATCTAGGAGTTTTTCTGGTTCAAAAAGCACAAAATTTAGGAAAGAGAAAGGGATAAATGTCTCTTTACACTGATATTTAAGTCCATGAACAACAAAATCTCTAGCCAGTAGAAGGCATTTCATGAAATGTATAAAATTAGCCCAACATTGTACCACCACTGTTTATTCCAGTGGACAGCAAGGTCAGTATTCTCCACAGGAAAGGGAACTGTCTTGAGATTGAGGTGTGGAAGAAGGTCGAGATCTGACATAATATTGACCCAGATCAGTGAATTCTTTACATGAGTAAATGAGATATTAGAATGGGGAGCTACATTAGAATCAGAGCAGCCCTTTCAAAGCGCTCCTGTAACGTGAGAATGGGATGGTTGGGAGGAGACAGTAGTGTCACAGTTAGGTCCTAAACAGCCCTGGAAACTTGATGAAATAGAATCAGATTAGTGAGATGAGCCATGACTTTGAAAATCCTGGTTAAGTAGCTATGGGCTGTGGGGCATTTCTGAGCGCTATGCTGGGGTTGCTCATTTCAGATCTACATGCAAATATATATAAAGTCACGTGGTTTATGGAATGTCTCTGATCGATTTTGCAGACGAGCAGCAGACACGCAGTTGGGAAGGTTCGGGAAACTGGCCTGTTGATCGTGCAGGTAGTCTTATCCACCCATGAGTAGGCATCACATGAGTGAGGATTTCCAGGGCTTTAAGAAGGCTGATTTTTTAAAAAGTTGGTTCATGCCTCAGATTCCACATTTATTAACTTCATTTTGAAGTTCTGATCACTGTTAAAAGAAAATAATCTCTGAAAAGGTTAATAATTTTAGGAATTTTCATTATAATATTGATGTATTTCTATGCATAATTTATAATTTGTAATTTAATAATATAATTATACTATTTAATTATAACTTCTTTGATTATAATTATACTTTTATAATTATATAATTACAGTGTTTTGAGGATGATAAATCAGATATCTAACATAAGGTGCTCACATTGCTTTTTGGTCTTTGTTTCCAATGAAGTCAAATATATTTATGCAATAGGAAAGTTGTTAATAGAGAAATATATGTGATATTAGATTTTTTCACTGGGCTCTTAGGAATATATCTACTATAAACGAAGAAGGGGCTTAGAAATAAAGCAGAGGAACTTTAAAATTTTTCAACTGCTGTTTCATTAGACAAAATCATGCTCTTGCAAATGACTTGAATCTAGAAAGTAGTAATTGGAATCGAATGCAAAACTATCACTGATGATAACATTGCTATAGCATCAGGACTGTAAAACAAGCAGCACCTTTTGGAGTGAATGGTGGAAGTTTACCTTGCTGTAGGATGCCCGTTTGTCTGCAGAGGCTTGGTCCAGTAATACAGTTTGGGGCTCCTGCAAGTATGTTACAGAACACTTGTAACACATTTGAACAGACTGAATCCCTCCCTCTTGACCTCTCCTGTTTCAGATTCCTTTATTTTCTGCAATAAAAATTTGCATCCAATCAACAAATAAAAAGTGAAAATATGAAAAGGTAAAGAATTATCTTTCAAGTTGGGCACCAGTCCAGTTTTAAAAATTTAATGAAATTAAAATTAAGATAAAGTGACATACCAAAAGAAGATTCTAATGGTTAAAACCTGGTTCGATGGAGCAAAATTTGTACTAGGAAAGCTTCTTTTCTTTGTCTCTTGCTTTTCTGAAAGTGAGTGGTCTTTTTGCCTGTGTGATACTGCTCATTCTAAACTTAGAAAACCTTGTGGGACTTCCCTGGCAGTGTTTTTACTGCCAGGGCCCCGGTTCAAGCCCTGGTCAGGAAACTAAGATCCTGCAAGCCGTGCAGCACGGCCAAAAGAAAGAAAGAAGAAAAAAAGAAAACCTTGCTTAGAAAATCTTTTGCTTGGCTCTCCTCTCAGGATTTTATTGTTTTTACATATTTATGAACTTCTCCCAGAGCAGTAACAGTAAAAAATTGTCAGAAGGCCCTGTCCATAACCTGTGAGGTAATGATGTCAACCTGTACTGGAACAGGCAATATGCTGTCATCTCTTTGTCTTTGCATATCTTATTCTCTCTGCTTAGGGCACTCTCCTTTGTAAACCTGAACGTGGATTTGTTAGAAAAATATAAAGTAATGGACTCTTTTCTCCTAAATGCACATACACAGAATTTTGCATACCCTGCCTGGCTTAGACAGAGCCCCCTACAAAGTAATCCTTGCACTGCCAGACGCTGATGGTGTGCCCACATCTGTCATTGTATTTGGAATATTTGTTTATGTATTTGACCATCTCCAGGATGCTAAACTCCTAGAAGATGAGGTCTATCCCTTATCCAGGTTTTATCTCCTGGACGCTCAATATATATTTGTTGAATGAATAGATGCCTTGAGTTTCAGCTACTTGAGCTCAATTTGTCACCAGTTATAGATATTTAAGGGCAAATTCAAAGACTGGACACAGGGGTTTCTCAACAAAGGTTGAGTGAATGCTGCAACATTTTAATGCCTGAATGTATGGTACTTTGTAATGGAAAAATGTTTATCATGTATTAATTTTGTGAATAAGCCAAGCCCCACTCCTGCTCTCTCTTTCACACACACACACACACACACACATACAAACACACACACACACACATACAAACACACACACACGTTCTAGTTAGAACTGGACAGTATAAGAAAGCTACTAAAATATCCAGTCGTTCATATATAACAAGACATTTGTATATGTTTAATATGTTGATGCTCTGGGATTGTAAGGATCCTACCTAAGGATAAAGAAGTATCAATAATCCCACATTTCTCCATTCTGAAGAGAGTTATCAAGAAATTAAGCCAGATATTTCTAGGCTTGCTATGAGATTGTTAACTGGCCCTGCTACCTCCTAGATATCATGCCAGCACTGACGCCCACCTTAAGATGAAATAAGAGGAACAGACAGGGAAGAGAGAGGGTATACTAGTTTTCTATTACTGCATAACAAATGGCTTAATGGCCACAAACTTAATGGCTTCAGACAACATGAATTTATTATGTAATGGTTTCCCTGGGTACAGGTTAGTTGAGTCCTCTGCTCAAAGTCTCATGAGATTAAAATCAAGGCATCAGCCAGACTGTGTCCTCATCTAGAGGTTCAACTAGGGAAAGGTTTGCTTTCAAGCTTCCTCAGAAAGTCCGCACAATTCATTTCTGTATGCTTGTAGGATTGAGGTCCCCACTGGCTTACCTGTTCTCATCCTAGAACTCCTTTCAGCTTCTAAAGGCCATTCTCAGGCCCATACCATGTGGTCCCTGCCCTTGGCCCTCTCACACCTCCGATCTCTCTGCCTTCGGGGAGGGAAGGCCCAGTGTCTTTTAAGTGCTGATCTGATTAGATCAGGTCCACCCAGATACCTCTCTTTTGATGAACTTGAAGTCAACTCATTAATAACCCATTCAAGGAGTAATATCCCATCGTGTTCACAGGTTCTGCCCACTCAAGAGGAGAGCATTACACAAAACATGTACACAAGGGGTAAGAATATTGGGGGTGCCCTGATAATTCTGTGCACCACAAAGACATTATGGGAGGGGTTTATGGAGCTCTGTAAGTGCAGTGAGAGGTGATCTAAGATGGGAGAGAAGAATCTTGTTTCTTACTGCAGTTCTACCCTGTTGGTGCTATTGGACCAGCACAGAGCATGGTAGGGGAGTTCCTGGGAGAATGTGAGGCACATTCCCTGAAGTTTGTGGTTATACATAAAAATTGTTCCTTTTTACAGCCAGTGTATTTTCTGAAAAGGAGAAGACTTGGCGGAATACTTGGCAGCAGAGAGGTGGTAACAGATGGTGATGTGGTATGCCTTAGAAGAGGAGAGAGTCACCCATTCCAGTTCCCAAGACTCCCAGGGAGGAGGTTAGGAGATGCACCACTCTGCGGTGGGGGGTAGGGTTGGGGGACACTGGTACATGGACTAATTGAGAGAGACTAAAGGGAGACCAGGGGGCCCCTCTTTGAGGGCCCCAGGGGCTGAGGAAATTGAGAGAAAGTTGAAATCTTTCCCAAGAGAGCCATGCACAGAATCTCTATGGAGACTGTTATATCAGCATAGTAGAGATTCCGGACCTGAGCCTAAGACCTTGGTTGCCTCCCCACCACGAGCAGGTGACCAATTACTCCACAAGATCTTTGCCTCTCCTGTTTCTCCTTTCGACCTCCCAAATCGGAGGAACTGATTGTTGAAATACAGAAGGGAAGGAGTAACCAGAATCAGACCATTCTTTCACCCCACTGCAGATCTTTCACCCACAAGCCTGGTCTACTGGGGAGAGGGAAGAGGAGTGGGTGGGAAGATTAGCAAATGTCATTTAAGCCCATATGAGATGAGAGGCTTAAACAGACCTGGACTTCTAGTGGAAGGTATGGCACATTTCCAAGATGTGTCCATAACGAGTAAGGAGCTGGCACTAGACAGAGCATGACTGAAAAAAGTGACTAGAGAAAACTAAAAACATTTCATGTTATAAACCCAGGTTGAGACTATTCAATAAAAATTATAAATATATTTAAAATTTCCCCCAAGCTTCCAAATTTTTTTTTTTTTTTTTTTTTTTTGGTGTGCGGGCCTCTCACTGTTGCGGCCTCTCCCGTTGCGGAGCACAGGCTCTGGATGCACAGGCTCAGCGGCCATGGCTCACGGGCCCAGCTGCTCCGTGGCATGTGGGATATTCCTGGACCGGGGCACGAACCCATGTCCCCTGCATCAGCAGGCGGACTCTCAACCACTGCGCCACCAGAAAAGCCCCCTAAATTTTTTATGTTCAAAAAAGAATTTTTCCGGGCTTCCCTGGAGGTGCAGTGGTTGAGAGTCCGCCTGCCACCTGCTGCCTGCCGATGCAGGGGACACGGGTTCGTGCCCCGGTCCGGGAGGATCCCACGTGCCGCGGAGCTGCTGGGCCCCGTGAGCCACGGCCGCTGAGCCTGAGTGTCTGGAGCCTGTGCTCCACAACGGGAGAGGCCACAGCAGTGAGAGGCCCGCGTACTGCAAAAAAAAAAAAAAAAAAAAGAATTTTTCCCCTCATGGCTCCCAATTTTCCAAGAAACAAATGATATCACTAAGTTACATAGAAGAGTGAATTAGATCCAGATACATTTCCCAAGAGCAAGTTTTGATATGGAAGGCTAGGATGAAATCAGTGCACAGCATATATTAGTGGGGTGGTGAAGAAAGGATGCCCCTAAAATTGCTAAGTAGGGAACTGGCCAAAAAGCATATCTGGATGGAAAAATGATACATAGTTTGAAACATTGGCCTGTAATAGGCAGGACATTAAAATGAGTTCCTAATATTTGTTTCTGAATGCAGCTATTATTTCATGTATGCTTGGCATTTAAAAATAACGTGAAGATACATCTGAAAATACAAAAGTATTTCACAAGAACTCAAAGAAGCAAAGTAACCATGGAAACATAGCTGATTTTGAACATCCCCCTTTAAAATATGTTGACTCATTATAAGGTGAAAAAAGTAGTTCCTGTGATGCTCAGTCAGCTGAATATAATTGTGCTGAATGTAAATAGTTTCTATAAAACTTAATGACAAAAGATAAACCACTAGTTGTTATCCTTGCATTGCTAGTGGTACCCATTCCATTTTGAATTCCCATGGTACCTATAAAACAGTATGCATGAGTGTGTGTGTGTGTGTGTTTATAAGTCATCACAGCATATTCATCATAGTATAAACCTTTAGAAAAATTTATCTTTAGGCAAGCAGTAGTAAGATCAGTTTAGCTTCAGAAGAAAGCAATCTCTTCCAATTTAACAATAAGAAGTATTAAGTGTTATAGTAAATGTTGCATTCATATGTTGGAGAAAACCACATGTCCTAACAGAAGGAATAGTAAGCTACAAAGAACTAATTTAATTTTTCTGGTTCAGCACATGGATAGCCAGCACAACTAACAGACCATTTGAATGTTAAAATAACTTTTCAGACATAGCACCATTAAAATCCAATTTTGTTAAACTTCTTGGTTTTAAGACAATTTTATGTAAAATTTCAGTCTTTGACAATAAATACTTGAAATGATTACCTCAAATATAAGAACAATTTTGGTAGGAAGTCCAGTGTGCTACGTATTTCGCGTATGTGCAACAAAATGTGAAGGCACGGATTGAAGATGATTATAGTGGCTGGCAAGCCACTAGTGAATGGTGAGCCCTCGAACACTCCTTGGCCACACAATTGAGACTACATGGCATGCATTACGCCTGATTTTAAATGTGATTAACAGTATTATAAGATTTATTTTCTTTCAAGTTCAGATGTACCTTTTTATAAAAGAGACATTGCTATCTTAGACTGTTGTGTAGGGTGTGGATTTTTTTCTCTCTATTTTGGACAATTGAAAATTGTTAAAAGCGTATGCTATATATATATATATATATATATATATATATATAAATGTACACACATACATAATACTTAAATGCTTGACTGTGCAAAGGATACTTTTGGATGGTAAGGAACTGGTATAAGTGGCTGCCTCTAGGATTAGAATAGTGTGGTCAGGGACAAGGGTGGGAGGGTGTCTAAGTTTGGTATTCTTCCAAAGCAGAAGCTGAGTTAAGAACTCGGGTGCAGGTAATCCCTGAGAGGTGATGGCAGGAAGCACAAGTATAGGAGTGGGGAAAGTGAGACCAGAAAAGTAGAAAATCCAAAGAGTATGATAATGAGCATATGACCACTTTGGACAAACAGGGCTCAGTCCCACAGGGGACTCCTGCAGAAACAATGTGAAACACACTTCAAAATTTTCTCTCGGGATGAGCCACCCACCCTCACTCTTAACCTTCCCCCATGGTCGAGAGCACCCCTGGAGCATTTTCTCCACACTTGCTGTGCAGAGAAGAGAGACTCAGATGCTTGAGGTGGAAGCTGCTGTCATCTCGCCAGAGATTCTTCGGGGTGCTGGAAGGCTGGGGAGAAAGTATTTACGTTTCATCCAGTCCCCCTGGCTCTGAGTTCCTGCTTCCACTGTTTTGCACTGCATTGCTCCCTGTTAGACCCTGCTTCCCATCCCTGTATTAAAAGTTTGGGATAACAGAGCCTGGAAAACCTTAAACAATTTAGAATTAATTATTAGCATTTCTGTTCTTAAAAGGCTCCTGGTAATCTCCCTTGCACCACTGCAGGGATTTTCTCACTGGACCCTTTTCCTTGTAGTTTCCCACCATGCAGTTCAGCCTTCTCTGCCTCTGCTCTAAAAGCCTTTCCTTTACCCACTCACGGTTTGCAGGATCATAAATTCCTAAACTTCTTGGGCAGAGCAGTTTGACTCTGTGTTGCTGCCTGCTTCCAAATGTTTGCAAAGCTTCACCTTCTACACCCAAGATGAGTTACCATGTTATTTTCTTACCAAAGGCAGTTCCCTCCCTAAGAGTAACTTTACTTCACTCTTAAGATAACAATTAATTATTTTTTTACCGTACTATATACGTAAAGTTGGAGCACAATAAACCATCCTAACAATACAGGGGTTTCTGATAGTATCATGTATTGTCTTGATTCAGTCTGGGTCCATTTCTTAGGTTCCCCGATTCACTCGTTTCTTCTTATATAGTCTTTGTTGGAATGTCCACCCCTTGCTTCAAAGTCTTGATCACTGACATTTCTTAGTTTTTTTTTGTTTACCCCAGGAATCACTGTGTAATGCTCTGTGCTACCATATAACTGGTTGTTAACTCTTCTCGTTTGTGAAGGATTAATGTTCTTATAGCAGGGCGAGAGTTTTCTGGATTGTAGTTAAAATTGAAAGCAGCTTCCCTCCCCCACTCAGCAATTTAATCTTCCTTCTCCCATTTGGGTCAGACTATGGAACTTGCTGGGTAATGCCATTCAAACCTCTCCAGGCCACAGTAGCTCTGAACATTACTGTTTAGTTATGCACATTTGAATGGCACCCATTGGTTTCCTTTTATAATTATCAGAGGATACAAGAGAGATTCTCAAATTGAGTTTGAAAAAGACTTGTATTTCAAGCTGCAAGTCCTCTATCCTGAGCTGAGCTGAGCAGGTAATTTTAGGAAAACTTTAGGGAAATAAATACATTATTTATTTGCTCTGGAGCTTTTTATGTTGACATTATCCCTCTTTTACCATGAGGGAGTTTGACTAATGGCTTAGCCATGGCTATAATAGCTAGAAATTAGAGGAGAAAAAAAAAGGAAAGCAAGATTCTCTCCAATCCCCACCTCCACCCCAATCCCCAGGCCAAGATGCACTGTTTAACAATCATTCTTTTAGGAGGGAGATGAGTTCTGATGAAAATACGACTTCAAGCAAATGCTAAGCCCAGCTGTCCTTTTTTTTGCAAAACAAGGCAGGTAAGAGCTTTAATCCAGTAGTACACCCAAACTGATTAAAACAAATTTTTCATTCACTTCGGATCAACCTAGATTCAGATATGCTGCTCTAGAGAGCTGTTTCCTGCATGGTTTGTCTCCTCAGTCGTTGTCCACAGGACTCTGAGAAGCTGTAGGAATATGCAGGCGCAGACTCAAGGCCCGGCTTCATCTCCAACGTTGTGGAAAGGGACTGTACATCATGGGGCAGCGCCCTATGCTCCCCTACGCCACCAGGACAGAGCCCGGGGAGAGTGACCTCCCGGGGTATCCACGTTGGTCCCAGCTTTCCTTCTTAATGATCTCATTCGTAATTGGTCACAATGATTTCCCAAAAGGTTCTTGCAAATTAACATTCAATTTAAACAAGCAACTTCCAATAAGCCCTTGAGCCAGGTCATGAAGACACAGATTTATCTGCTGAGGATTTTTAGGTGCCTAGGCAGCTAGGTTTGTCCATCTTCAGGCATCTTCCAAACTACAATTCTATTACTCCTTCCCAGAGGTTTGGCATTCTGCAGACAGCCTGGGAGGTCTAGTTCTCGCTCTACCTCTGTCTCAATCCCCTCAGTTTCTCTCATGGCCAAATGCAAATAACACTGTCAAGCTGTCTATCATTGCAGTGACTCATAACTAGCAATTCTTATTTTAAAGCACTTTCCAGTTATTCAAATGATAGCTTATTTTAGAAAAGAAATAAGCTAGTATATGGAAAATACTGGATACGATGGTAAAATACATACCCTACCACCTGCTTTGTTTAAACATGTCTCAAATCAAGAAATGAGAAATTAAAGTAACTATATCTTTAGCCTAAACACACAAAAAGACCTAA